AGAGAGAGAGAGAGACAGAGAGAGAGACAGAGAGAGAGAGAGAGAGAGAGAGAGAGAGAAGACGAGAGAGAGAGAGAGAGAGAGAGAGAGAGAGAGAGAGAGAGAGACAGAGAAGAGAGAGAGAACAGACAGACAGAGAGAGAGAGCGACAGATAGAGAGAGAGAGAGAGAGAAGATAGAGAGAACAGAGAGAGAGAGACAGAGAAAGACAAGAGAGAGAGAGAAATAGAGAGAGAGAGAGAGAGAGAGAGAGAGAGAGACAGAGAGAGAGAGAGAGAGAGAGACGAGAGAGAGAGAGAGAGAGAGAACAGAGGACAGAGAAGAGAGAAGAGAGAAGAGAGAGAAGAGAGAGAGAGAGAGAGAGAGAAGAGACAGAGAGAGAGAGAGAGAAGACAGACAGAGAGAGACCAGATAAAAAGAGAGAAGAGAAAGAGAGATAGAGAGAGAGAAGAGACAGAGAGAGGAGAGAGAGAGAAGATAGAGAAAGAGGAGAGATATACAGAGGATAGAAAATAGAGGAGAGAGAGAGAAGAGCGAGAGAGGAGAGAGAGAGAGAGAGAGAGAGAGAGAGAGAGAGAGATAGAGAGATAGAGAGAGAGAGATGAGAGAGAGAGAGAGAGAGAGAGAGAGAGAGAGACATAGAGAGAGAGAGAGAGAGAGAGAGAGAAGAGAGAGAGAGATAGAGAGAAAGACAGAGAGAGAGAGAGAGAGAAAGAGAGAGAGAGAGAGAGAGAGAGAGAGTATTCATACCAAACGCTGGAGAAAATTGATATTTAGGGTTGCAATAGCGGGCTGCAATGTCATCTGAATGTGAAATTAACATTGACAACAAACCTTTGTAGAACTTCGACTTCATCAGCGGTAGCTGACATTGATCATCTGGGGCCAGATTCACGAAAGCACTTACGCAAACACTTACGAACCTGAACATCTTTTTTCAATCTTTGGTGGCTTTGTTTCCAATTATTAAACAGTTAATGAGTTCCGAAGAACCAGGAGGCTGTTTATAACAATAATAACAGTTGAATGGGAAGTTTTCATGCTTGTAAACTGTTTAATAAATGCAACCAAAGCTGTCAAAGATTGAGGAAAGATGTACACGTTCGTAAGTACTTGCGTAAGTGTTTTCGTGAATCTGGCCCCTGAGCACGCGGCCACGCTCACAACCACTAACATTAACCGAACACCATCAACATTTACCACCAGTAACACGTTCAAATGTTTCAAGTTCAAATGGGACTTGTCTAATCAGCTAATTAGTCAATCTGTTGCCTAAGTGCGTCCGCTTCATTTTGCAACTAGAGATACAACGATATTGCAGTTAGGGTTAAGTTGATAGGGTTTGTGGGTTTAGTGCATAGTGAAGCCTTGATGTGAGTGCATAGTGAGTCACATACATAGTGAGTGCATAGTGAGTCACATACATAGTGAGTGCATAGTGAGTCACATACATAGTGAGTGCATAGTAAGTCACTCACATAGTGAGTGCATAGTGAGTCACTCACATAGTGAGTGCAAGGGTAGTGATTAAGGTAAGTGTTTGACTTGAGGGGAAGGGGGGGGGGGGGTTAGTTTTGTTGTTAAGGTAGATGGCTTACTGAGGTGATTTGGTTAAGTGGTTTAATTAGGTGGGTTGCTCAGATGACTTAGTTAAGTGGTTTAGTCACGTGGAATAAGTGGTTTAATATGGTGGTTTGGTTATGATGAATTACGAGTATATGTATTTCGCTTTAAGTGTGTGATAAACACGTCGAAACATGCAAGGATTCGAACCTGGGATTCACAAAAGTACAGGCTGTACTTCACAAAAGTACAGGCTGTACTTCAAGGCTAATGTGTACTTTCATACACATTATGAAATTGGAAAACTGTTCGGTATTGGGGTTTAACGTTTAACTATGTGCAACATTAGATAGAGAGTCGAGAGGCGGGGCCCGAGAGGCAAAGCTCAGCCCTCCTCAAACTCAGATCTCATTAGCGTTCACTCGTGCGGATCAAAGTTAGTTTTGTTGCCAGATCAAATGCCGTTTATGTAGGGAGAATGATTGCTGCAGACGTGTTGGGTAGGGTAAGAGGTAAGGTAGGAGTTGTGGGGAGGGATGGGTAAGGTACAGGCTGTGGGAAGGGGTTGGGTAAAGTGGGGAAGGATTAAGAAATATGGGCAAGCATAAGAAATATTGCCGGAACAACCGTGGACATCTTCAAGAGGAAACTAGATTTATTCCTCCAAGGAGTGCCGGACCAACCGGGCTGTGGTGGGTATGTGGGCCTGCGGGCCGCTCCAAGCAACAGCCTAGTGGACCAAACTCTCACAAGTCAAGCCTGGCCTCGGGCCGGGCTTGGGGAGTAGAAGAACTCCCAGAACCCCATCAACCAGGTATCAACCAGGTATCAACCAGGTATCAAGGATGTGTAGGGTAACGCAAGGGAAATAGGGAGGGTTGGGTTAGCTTAGGCAAGGAAGACGGGTAAGTTTACTGGTATGTAAGATATAAAGGAAGATAATGTCGTCACTACATGACGGGATAGGGAGGAAGGATGGGGGGAGGGGGGGGGGGGGGGGAAAGGAAGAGGAGAAAGGGAAAACAGGATAAGGAAGGACAGAGCGGTGATGGGTGAGGATGGAGAGGGAAGATGGAATATGCGTGGGGGATAGAGAGGGATTGCTGTTGTTGTTGTTTAAGATTCGCTACTTGGAACAAAAAGTTCCAAGTAGCACGGGCTATGGCGAGCCCGTAGTGGACTTAGAGAGGGATAATGGGAGAAAAGAGGGAAGATAGGAAGGGAGGGGGAGTTCAAGGGTATGTAGTGTCAGAAATGGATATGTGCTAGAGGCGGAAGATTGGAAGGGGGGAGAAGGGAAAGTGAGCGTGGGTGAGAGAGAGAGAAAGAGGTAGGATTACAGCTCTTGCTTACAGTTTCACCAGGTACCTGTTCCTTATAAGCTTGTTAATATAGTTTCAAAGTACATTTTTACAAAATAAACGAGTCTCTAGGAACAGGCTTCAGATGAGCTGAGGTAAAGACAACAGCTCTAGCTTGCAGTTTCACTAGATGCTTCAATCCACAGACCTAATGACCCCTAGAGAGAGAGAGAGAGAGAGAGAGAGAGAGAGAGAGAGAGAGAGAGAGAGAGAGGAGAGAGAGAGAGAGAGAGAGAGAGAAGAGAGAGAGAGAGAGAGAGAGAGAGAGAGAGAGAGAGAGAGAGAGAGAGAGAGAGAGAGAGAGAGAGAGAGAGAGAGAGAGAGAGAGAGAGAGAGAGAGAGAGAGAGAGAGAGAGAGATGGAGGTATAATGCCATCTTTGGAAACTGCCTCTCCATTGGTTTGAGAGGCAGTTTCCTAATGCATTTTCTAACGACACTCTACAAAGAATCAGCCAAATATAGTATATGTTTGTTTATTTTGTCTGTGGCAAAGTTGCCTTTACATCCTGTTACCTAGCAGTAAAATTGATACCTGGGTGTTAGTCAGCTGCCACGGGCTGCTTCCTGGGGGTGGAGGCCTGGTCGAGGACCGGGCCGCGGGGACACTAAAAGCCCCGAAATCATCTCAAGATAACCTCAAGATTACATCCACCCAACCCTGCTCGGCCTTGCGGTGTTCGCCTCCAAGTTGTCCACGATGTCATTCATCATTCCGGGGTGAAGGTTGGCAGTATGTGTTGTATTTAATGACACATCTTGAGACTTGACTCACATGTGTCTTATCCAGGTGTCTGGACACATGGCCAACATGTGTTCATGGACACGTGGACACATGAACACATGTTGTTCATGACACAAGTGGCCCCTGTCACTAGGGGACAATGAACTGCTGGTTAAGAGATTTAATAATTCTGTGTACACATTCTATATCAACGATGATGATGTGCCTTTTCTAGTATGGACAAAAGAGGCAAATAGTAAAACAGAGAGAGGAAGAGATAAAGAAAAGGGGAAGTGACAAAGAGAGGGGAAGGAAGAAAAGGTGGAGAGAGACATACGAGAGAATGAGTGTATCCAAATCCACCATTCGCGATATAAAGACTGTTATTAAACTGATCAGTTTGTATTTCCTGTCATTCCCTTTGACCTCGTATCACGCCCTCTCCCCCTTGATATCCTTATCACTTATCTTCTTCTATCTCTTCCCTTCATCTTGAAATGCCTCGATAACTCATCGTCTCTACTGACCAAGTCGCTCTTCGAGTCTTTACCTCATTACATACGGTAAGGTAAGCACAGAGTTCTTAACCAATACCACCATATAGCACTTGAAAGGGATATGAGACAGACTAAGAAAACGCTAAGCCAGTGCGGCCATATGGTACATTGAAGGAGTATCAGGATAAGGAAGGCATCTGGGATACGACGCAGGGAAGGAATGCTGCCCAACTACTTGGGCCATCGGGAGATCGAACGCTGTCCTGCAAGAAACGAGGCTGTACCCTGTGTCAAAATTAATCCATGTCCACATCTAGGGAATAATTCTGAAATTAGTTGCTCAATGGACAATGTATTTTAACATGTGGGCGACAAGCTTGCTGTTTTTCATTGTTGTTTTAGATTTATCTACTCAGAACGAAGTGTCCATGTAGCACGGGCTATGGTGAGCCCGTTTTTCGTACACATGTGAGGTTATGTAGGTGACTCAGACGTAGGTGAGTCACCTGAACCTCCGCGCGAATGTCCTCCATTACCCAACTCATTGCCTCATTAAAGGGAATTTGATAAGCTCATTCTGGTGTTGAAACGCTTTCTCCTTGGATTCAATGAGGCTCATTTGTGGGGTTTTAAAGCTTGGGGTATTGGCTAGGACTGTTTGCCTCTCCTGTTGATCCACCTGATTGTTTGGGTGATGGAGGCGACCTGGCAACCCACCTGGTGGACCAGTTGATGGATGGTTGATGGAGGTGCGCCTCCATCAACCAGGTTGCTATCTCGAAAAGGCACTACGGGCTCACCATAGCCCGTGCTACTTGGAACTTTTTGTTCCAGGTAGCGAATCTTTAACAACATACTATCTCGAACATTGTTAGTTCTCCGACTCGTCCCTCCTCTTCTTTGACTTCTTCCTCTTCCGTCTCTTTCTTGTTCCCACTTCTTCCATTCTTCCGTACCATTCTCTCCTCTTTCTCCTCCTCGTTATCCGCTGCTTCTTCTCTTTCCATTTTCGCTTCTGTGCCTCCTCGTCTCTTCTCCAGTTCCTCTACTCTTGTGTTATTTCCCTTACAGAAGAAGAATGGACGAAGAGTAAGTCCTCATCGACTTTAATCCACGTAGCGTCCCTCTCAGTGCTCTCCTCCACGTTCTTATCTACTCCCGAACGTTCGTATCTACTCCTGCACGTTCCTATCTACTCCTGCACGTTCCTATCTACTCCTGAACGTTCCTATCTACTCCTGAACGTTCTTCTCCTTCACCACCATCTCCTGCCTCTGAGATCTCTGCCTCCTCTCTCTCTCCCTCCCACAATCCTCCCTCCTTCCCACGGAAGGAAGACAGGAACCAGACCGGTTCTAGCCTGACTTTGTTTCCTTGGCCCCTTTGTTTTCATTTAAATTATGTATTTATACATTAATATGAGAGGCGCTGTAGATGGAGCCGCCGGTGTGGGCGGCGTCCACTGACCACAAGCCAACGACACACTCTAGGAGACGGAAGATTGAGATAGAAAGAATAAGCATTATAACAATAGGGCCAACCGGTTGAAGGTTGGCCATTGAGAGTGGGACGTTGATGGATGGATGATATTAAGGGCTGATTGCAACGAATCTGTGAGGGGTAAGGAATGTATTGAGGGCTGCCAGTTGACGAGCGGATGTTATGAGGGCTGGGAGCTAAGGGCTGGATGCTGGGAGGGCTGAGAGCTAAGGGCTGGATGCTGGGAGGGCTGAGAGCTAAGGGCTGGATGCTGGGAGGGCTGAGAGCTAAGGGCTGGATGCTGGGAGGGCTGGGAGCGAAGGGCTGGATGCTGGGAGGGCTGAGAGCTAAGGGCTGGATGCTGAGAGGGGTGAGAGCTAAGGGCTGGATGCTGGGAGGGCTGAGAGCTAAGGGCTGGATGCTGGGAGGGCTGAGAGCTAAGGGCTGGATGCTGAGAGGGGTGAGAGCTAAGGGCTGGATGCTGGGAGGGCTGGGAGCTAAGGGCTGGATGCTGGGAGGGCTGAGAGCTAAGGGCTGGATGCTGGGAGGGCTGAGAGCTAAAGGCTGGATGCTGGGAGGGCTGAGAGCTAAGGCCTGGATGCTGGGAGGGGTGAGAGCTAAGGGCTGGATGCTGGGAGGGCTGAGAGCTAAGGGCTGGATGCTGAGAGGGGTGAGAGCTAAGGGCTGGATGCTGGGAGGGCTGGGAGCTAAGGGCTGGATGCTGGGAGGGCTGAGAGCTAAGGGCTGGATGCTGGGAGGGCTGAGAGCTAAAGGCTGTATGCTGGGAGGGCTGGGAGCTAAAGGCTGGATGCTGGGAGGGCTGAGAGCTAAGGCCTGGATGCTGGGAGGGCTGAGAGCTAAGGCCTGGATGCTGGGAGGGCTGAGAGCTAAGGCCTGGATGCTGGGAGGATGCTGGGGACTTGAGATTAGATGCAAGGAGTGCTGAGAAAAATGGATTGAATGCTGCAATTGCTGGAGCTGTGAGGGCTGAGAGCTAAAGAGAGGTTGCTGGGAGGGCTGAGAGTTAAGGAGCGGGTCACGGGAGGGCTGGATGCTGGGAGGGCTGGGACTGGGAGGCCTCACCAAGTTCCGACGCTGCCAGTGAGGGGTGACCTTCTGCTCTGGAAATGTCAGAATGTATAAGTCATGGGTTGTGCCTCACATACGCTATTTATATCCTTACTTGCTATACCCCACCAACCCCACACACACCCCTACACCCTCACCAACCCCACACACCCCCACCCACCACATAACCACCACCCACCCCACACCCCCATAACCCCAACCCCACCATCTCCACACCCCACCCAATCACCCCCACCCATCACAGCACCCCCCCACACACCCGGGAACACTTCACAACTTACCACCTCCTGATTACCCACCACACACCCCACCTCACACCCCACCACACACCCGACCACACACCCCACCTCACACCCCACCTCACACCCCACCTCACACCCCACCTCACACCCCACCTCACACCCCACCACACAAACATCAACATACTATACAATTACCACATTTAACCACCCACAACCCGCCCTCACTAATACAGTGTGCCTGTCTCTGTATTTTTCTTCCTTTGCGACAACATTGTTGTCATAACATCTCGGGTCTTCCACAGCTACGAGATCACTGTATAAGACGCGCTTTGATCGTAAACTTCTTTCGCACGAACCGAAAATGTCTTTTGGAACCAGCTGACGAGGGAGGGGAGGAGGGGATAGGGGGGTGTGGGAGGGGAAGTGGCCACCTCCCTCACCTGCAGGAACTATGCCACGAGTAATTACACAGTGTTCATAATTACCTTTATTATACCGTGCACTAATGACACTACAGAGAGAGTACTCACACTAACGTGACTGCATCAATGAGTAAATCCGTTGGAGCCGTGATGAGGGATCGAACCTATGCGGCTGGGTGTTCCCAGGCACACGCTTCTAGCGACAAGCAACCCGTCCTCGACTCAGGTCCATTCCATCCAGCGGTTGACCCCACAGACGCTTTAATAAATTTTTACACGCTGTTCATTCAAAATGGGAATTTTCTCTAATATAAATTAATAATATAATATATTAGCATATTGTGCATATATAGGCATAGGTTAGGTTAGGTATTTAGGTTCTGTTGGCGATTATTTGTATTTGTAGTACGTGGGTGAAGCATTTACAGCGTTGTGGTTCGAACAAAATTCGTCAGTGAAGCACTTGTTCCGGATATGTTCGAACGTCAGCAGGTGTGAGTCGTATGTAAAGCGGTTTTCATTCATTAACAGCTGGGGTTTGGCGGGTGGATGGAATCACTTTTGGGTCTTTGTTTGGACGGGCTGTTACACACGACTCTCAAGTGCTGACGTTCGAACACTTCCGAAACCAGTGCTTCACTGACGAATTTTGTTCGAACCACAACGCTATAAATGCTTCACCCACGTACTACAAATAATTACAACAGAACCTAAACACTTAACCTAACCTAACCTAACCTATGCCTATATATGCACAATATGATAATATATTATAATATCAATTTATATTTGAGAAAATTCCCGTTTTGAATGAACAGCATGTCAAAATTTATGAAAGCGTCTGTGGGGTCAACCGCTGGATGGAATGGACTTGAGTCGAGGACGGGTTGGAGGGAGGAACGCGCTGATGTATACGTGCTCGGAGGCCCTACTATCCCTCCAGTGGTTGACCGCCCTTGAGTCGAGGACGGGTTGGAGGGAGGAACGCGCTGATGTATACGTGCTCGGAGGCCCTACTATCCCTCCAGTGGTTGACCGCCCTTGAGTCGAGGACGGGTTGGAGGGAGGAACGCGCTGATGTATACGTGCTCGGAGGCCCTACTATCCCTCCAGTGGTTGACCGCCCTTGAGTCGAGGACGGGTTGGAGGGAGGAACGCGCTGATGTATACGTGCCCGGAGGCCCTACTATCCCTCCAGTGGTTGACCGCCCTTGAGTCGAGGACGGGTTGGAGGGAGGAACGCGCTGATGTATACGTGCTCGGAGGCTCTACTATCCCTCCAGTGGTTGACCGCCCTTGAGTCGAGGACGGGTTGGAGGGAGGAACGCGCTGATGTATACGTGCCCGGAGGCCCTACTATCCCTCCAGTGGTTGACCGCCCTTGAGTCGAGGACGGGTTGGAGGGAGGAACGCGCTGATGTATACGTGCTCGGAGGCCCTACTATCCCTCCAGTGGTTGACCGCCCTTGAGTCGAGGACGGGTTGGAGGGAGGAACGCGCTGATGTATACGTGCTCGGAGGCCCTACTATCCCTCCAGTGGTTGACCGCCCTTGAGTCGAGGACGGGTTGGAGGGAGGAACGCGCTGATGTATACGTGCCCGGAGGCCCTACTATCCCTCCAGTGGTTGACCGCCCTTGAGTCGAGGACGGGTTGGAGGGAGGAACGCGCTGATGTATACGTGCTCGGAGGCCCTACTATCCCTCCAGTGGTTGACCGCCCTTGAGTCGAGGACGGGTTGGAGGGAGGAACGCGCTGATGTATACGTGCTCGGAGGCCCTACTATCCCTCCAGTGGTTGACCGCCCTTGAGTCGAGGACGGGTTGGAGGGAGGAACGCGCTGATGTATACGTGCTCGGAGGCCCTACTATCCCTCCAGTGGTTGACCGCCCTTGAGTCGAGGACGGGTTGGAGGGAGGAACGCGCTGATGTATACGTGCTCGGAGGCCCTACTATCCCTCCAGTGGTTGACCGCCCTTGAGTCGAGGACGGGTTGAAGGGAGGAACGCGCTGATGTATACGTGCCCGGAGGCCCTACTATCCCTCCAGTGGTTGACCGCCCTTGAGTCGAGGACGGGTTGGAGGGAGGAACGCGCTGATGTATACGTGCTCGGAGGCTCTACTATCCCTCCAGTGGTTGACCGCCCTTGAGTCGAGGACGGGTTGAAGGGAGGAACGCGCTGATGTATACGTGCCCGGAGGCCCTACTAACCCTCCAGTGGTTGACCGCCCTTGAGTCGAGGACGGGTTGGAGGGAGGAACGCGCTGATGTATACGTGCCCGGAGGCCCTACTATCCCTCCAGTGGTTGACCGCCCTTGACCCCAAACAAACACGCGGTCAACGACCTTCGTTTAATAAATAAGTGAATTTGACCTATTGACACCCATAGAAAAAAAAACAAGCGATTGAGTGTGAATACGAACATTATGTGAATTATTAAGGTTAAGTAAGTGTTAAGTTTATAAAGTGTAAGTGTAGTGAGGACTACACTAGTCCCCGCCGGCAGACTACCACACACACTGTCTCACGTACATGCAAGCAAGAGGTAATACTGCTACGGGCTCGCCATAGCCCGTGCTGCTTGGAACTTTTTGTTCCAGGTAGCGAATCTTAAACAACAACAACAAGAAGCAAGAGGCAAGTACTCTTCTTCATTTACAACACGTGCACCAAACCGCTACATCTTCCCTCAATCAATGCGCCTAAGTTTGCATTTATTAAAAAGATTATGAGGTTGTGGGAAGCGCTACCAGGTTGTATATTAACAATAATACCGATGGGTTGTGAAGTTTCCAAGCTCTTACACTGTTTAATACAGACTATGCCATCATGGGCGAGGAAAGATGAACAGGTTTCGTAAATGGACATTTTAATGCTTGAAGAATTTGCGACCGTGGTTAGACTAGATTGTTAACGTGGCGGTCTGGTTGTGACAACACCTGACAACATTATAACTATCCTGCTATCGTTTATATCGTGGTTATTATAACCTGGGAGTGATGGGTTATAGCGAGGGTGAAGGTGCGCGCTAGCTATTGATGTGCCCACAGCGTAGGCAGACTGTGCACAACCCGTTCTCACCAGCGCCACCACCTCACCACCCCTAGGACCTCTCCACAACCGCCACCTGATCCACATTCACCTGTTCTTGTCACCCTCGTCCCTATCTCGGTACTTTGCTCAGACCACCTGGTTGTTCAGTAGACACAGCAAAGTTGATTATACCTGAACATAGCCTCATAGCTTGATCAACCAGGCTGTGACTCATGCGTCAGGCTGCGAGCAGCCGCGTCTAACAGCCTGGTTGATCAGTCCAGCAACCAGGAGGCCTGGTCGACGACCGGGCCGCGGGGACACTAAGCCCCGGAAGCACCTCAAGGTAACCTCAAGGTAAGGTAACCTCTCCACCTCCCTCCACACACCTGTGTGAGTGGAGGTGGAGAGGTGTACGGAGGGAGGAGAAGAAATTGATGAATGGTGAATGTAAGGAAGAAGAGATAGATAGAGAGGATTTAGTTTTTCTACCACAATCGTGGCAATTCATTTTTTCATTCTAACCAGCATATATACAGTTTCTTACCGTCCTCCATTGACAGCTTTAGGGAGCCGTTAGATAGCATATAGGTAGAGAGAGAGAGAGAGACAGAGAGAGAGATGATGAGGAATGAGAAGAGAGGGAGAACCTTGCCCTGTTAATCAAAGGTAATGGAGGCATCACTCCTCACTAGCTTGGTAATCATCGCTCACATTCGACCTGCGAGTGACCAAGTCCAAATAACATGTGTGACTAACTTTTACTGTGAGGCATAATGAGACGAGGGGTGGTAAAACCCTGTGGTCTTTAGTGTTGAGGGCCATGTTGTCCTGCTGGGTGGCACTTCCCGGGGGGCCTGTGTCTCCTCACCTGGTTGAGTTTCGGCTCTTTGGGCCCGTCTCTCAACCGTTAATCAACTGGTATACAGGTTCCTGGGCTCTTATATCTACATCTGAAACTGTGCGAGGAATTCGTCTCCACCACATCACTTTTGGCGCATTTCATTTGTTAACTACTGACAGAAAAAATCTTTGTAATGTCTCTTTGGCTCATCTGGGTACTCAGTTTCCATCTGTGTCCCCTTGTGCGAGTATCACCAGTCTTAAATAATGTCTTTATCTACCCCCCTAACAATTCCCCTCGGAGTTTTGTAAGTGGTAATCATGTCTCCCCCTAACTCTTCATTCTTCCAGCAACTTTTGGGTCAATTAATGTAGTCTTTCCCTATAACTCGAACCTCGTATTGCCGGGACTAGTCTGGTGGCATGCCTTTGAACATTCTCCCCTCGTCCTCGTCTTGTGTTTGACTAGGTATGAACTCTACCAATCCTGGAGTGGTAAACTTCAGGATTGGTCTGATTAATGACGATTAAAGATTAAGCCACCCAAGGATTGGTCTGACATCTGTGTGTCGATAAGAGGGTGTTTGTAAGAGGTTTGGCGGCCAGGTGGTTGGCGCTCGCCTTTCCTAAACGTCTCAGGATGGTTTATGATTGTATGTCAAGTCATAGACGGGCTCACCATAGCCCGTGCTACATGGACACTTCGTTCCGAGTAGCTATATCTAAAACCAACAACAGCGTCAAGTCATTAGGTAGTTGTGGTCGTTCCCATGCCCCTCTTTAAGAAGGATCAGCTACTAGGCCGAGTCCCAGCGGCTAGTATGACTTATGAAATGTGGGTTTGATTGTACGAAGACTTAAACTAGGTTTTTCGGCTGTTATCAGCGTTGACTCTATGTCGATTGAAAGTTCCTCGAACATGTTTTGGCCACTGGGAGAGGGAAGGAGGAGGAGGTAGGGAGGGAGAGAGAACGTGAGGGAGCTAGGAAGGTAGACAGAATGGGAGGGAGAGAGAACGTGAGGGAGCTAGGAAGGTAGACAGAATGGGAGGGAGAGAGGCAAAGGGAATGTGAGAGAGGGACAGATGAAGAAGGAACGGAAGGAGGAAGGGAGGCAGAGGGAACGGGACGAAGAGATGCAAATGGGAACAGGAGAGACAGTGGGAACAGGGGGGAGGCAGAGAGAGACCCGGGCACCGCCGGGTCAGTCCATCTAGTGATACACAAGCTTCGAAACCAATTGTAAATTTGTTTGACCTCGGCAGTTGTGATGTGAGCCTGGCATATGTCGCTGATATCTTATTGATATCTTCAGGAGACAGGCTTGGTGTCACACCTAGCGGTGGCCCAGGAGACCTCCACACCTACCGGCGGCCCACGAGACCTCCACACCTGCCGGCGGCTCACGACACCTCCACACCTACCGGCGGCCCACGAGACCTCCACACCTGCCGGCGGCCCACGAGACCTCCACACCTGGCGGCGGCCCACGAGACCTCCACACCTGGCGGCGGCCCACGAGACCTCCACACCTGGCGGCGGCCCACGAGACCTCCACACCTGGCGGCGACCCAGGAGACCTCCACACCTGGCGGCGGCCCACGAGACCTCCACACCTGGCGGCTGCCCAGGAGACCTCCACACCTGCTTCTCGTAATGACATTTTCGAAAATCAATACTGAGAAGTGGCAGAGACAAACAGAAGCAGCAGCTGGAGGATTGGCTGAGGTTTGATCCTCCCACACCTTCCCTCCTTGACCTCAGTCAACCCCCTTCACCTCCCCCTTGATCTCAGTCAACCCCCTTCACCTGCCCCTTGACCCCAGCGGACTTTCTCATACGTCGGTCACGCTAGGTGAGGTGAGGTCCCATGACTAGGTACCTTTCTGGTTAGGCAAAAATAGTTTATTTTTTGACGGAGGGAGAGAACGGTGTGTCTACTCCTCCATCTCCCATGATGGAGGAGAAGGTTGGAGGTGGAGCATGGAGGAGGGACTGGCTGCTATCATCCTCCACGATGTTCTCACACTCCAGTCGTGTGTGTATATTGGGTGGAGTGCTCAACAAGGCGCGGTGAGCTCCGCTAAGCTCCACAACTCTGATAATGTGAGTTGGCAAGTGTGAGGAGGCTAGGAGTCTAATGAGGTACACACACACACACACACACACACACACACACACACACACACACACACACACACACACACACACACACACACACACACACACACACACACACACACAAATGGAATGCATGGTTGACAAATGGAATGCATTAGGAGGTGATGTGCTGGAGGCTGACTCCATACACAGTTTCAAGTGTAGATATGATAGAGCCCAGTAGGCTCAGGAATCTGTACACCAGTTGATTGACGGTTGAGAGGCGGGACCAAAGAGCCAGAGCTCAACCCCCGCAAACACAACTAGGTGAGTACACACACACTCCATCACTCACCCAACACACCAACTTACTAGCCTGAAAATTCTTAATTGTAGAAGCAAAACAGAGATCGGAAGGTTTCCCCATATGGACCAGGGGTAATACTGAGTATCCTAGCTGGCTAGTGTGTTAAAGACTTGCTTGTTAAAGCCGAGGTAAATGTTGGCCAGAGGTGGTACTGTAGCTGGTCCGGTCAAAGTGGTAGCATTTACCTGCCACAGCGACCACCACTGATGCTGTGTCTCCTCATCTCTCGCTTGGTCAATTATGACTTGCATCAACCCCTTTCAATTCCATTATTATTATCTTTGGTTAATATTGCATTACCTTTGATTCTCGGGGAGTGTGCGCGCGCGTGTGGGGGGGGGGGGGGGGGGCGAGCCAGCACGCGTGTGGGCTAGGGTAGTGACTCTGACCTGAGCCCCCAACACAACCATTTAAGGTCGCCTCCCGGGGCTTCCTACCCATTTTTAGCTTCCATATTTATGAACCCTTGCTGTGAAAACCTTGACGGAAATTGAATTTTTGCCAGAAGAGGATTTCAGGATGGGGGTGAAAGGTGTGTGTGTGTGGGGGGGGGGAGGGGGTGAGTGGGGGCTCGCCAAAGAGGGGGGGGAGGGAGGTTTGAGGGGGGGGCATGGTTGGATAGTAAGGGGGAACTATAGGGCCGTGGTAAGGGGGCACAAGGGCTTGGATTAGGGTGAATAGGGTGAACTGAGGTAATGGGGCATCCCCCCCCCCTCACCACATACTCAGGTTTACAGGTCCTCGCTACAGATCGTAGTCCTATGGCCCCGGGTTCGATTCCCGGTCATGGCAGAAACAAATGGGCAGTTTCTTTCAACTGATGTTTTCCTGTTCACCTAGCAGGAAATAGGTACCTGGGAGTTAGACAGCTGCTACGGGCTGCTTCCTGGGGATGTGTATGTGTATGTACGTCACAGACAAAAATATGTAGTAGATGATATATAGGAACAATAGGTCGACGACCGGTTAGAAAGGCAGGGCCCAAGAGCTAACGGCTCGATCCTGTAGGCACAAATAGTAAATAAAAATAAATGAACACGGATACAGTGTTCTAATGCTTGTGTTCTTTGTGTAATGTTTCTAATATTGTGTTGTTGTTTGCAGGTAAGAGAAGTGTGGACACCCCACCAAGGCTCCTTGCTTCAGGTAGTGTGGTTCTTTGTTGTTGGTCGAGTAGACCCCCTCTTGATCCCTGTACCCCTGTCTAGTACCCCAGCGTCTGACCCCCTGTCTAGTACCCCAGCGTCTGACCCCCCTGTCTAGTACCCCAGCGTCTGACCCCCCTGCCTGGTACCCCAGCGCCTGACCCCCCTGCCTGGTACCCCTGTGTCTGACCCCCTGCCTGGTACCCCTGTGTCTGACCCCCCTGCCTGGTACCCCAGTGGCTAAGCCCCTGCCTGGGACCCCAGCGCCTGACCCCCGCCAGGTATTAAATTTTGCCACTGGATGGCAAAGTTCGGTAAATTCTGATGAGAATTTAACGCTCTCGGGATTAGTTTGATTGTCTCGGAAGATGAGGCGACTCCGTAGGGTGTTTGGGGAAGCTAATTTGTGCCTGTGTGACTCTGTGACTCTGTGGCTCTGTGGCTCTGTGACTCTGTGGCTCTGCGACTCTGTGCCTCTGTGGCTCTGTGACTCTGTGCCTCTGTGGCTCTGTGACTCTGTGGCTCTGTGACTCTGTGGCTCTGTGACTCTGTGACTCTGTGGCTCTGTGACTCTGTGCCTCTGTGGCTCTGTGACTCTGTGGCTCTGTCTGTGACTCTGTGGCTCTGTCACTGTGGCTCTGTCTTTAAGGATGCGGTTTAGGATGTGATAAACGTTTAGGAAAAGCAATTAAGGACAAATTGGTGGCATTAGTGAGTATAATTTCATATGTTTCTCGACTAGATGTCTTTGTAAGGTTGAACTTCAGCTCCGAAGGCCCGCCTTTTCAGATTGCGATTGAGTAATGTAATGACATTTTACCCGTAAGTTGCTTACCATATTTGTGTTTGAATTGACTATATGGTTTATGATGTTTTGGTTTTCATTTTGTCGAATTCCCTTAGAACCTTGTATGTTGTTACCATGTCTCCCCCTCCTATACGCCGGCGTGGTGAGCCTGAATTGTTTGAGCTTGAGCTTCTGTCTCAGTGCTGCCTTCACACTCATCCCTCACTCCTCACCCTGCTGTGGGCCTCACTTTTCCTCCTCCCTACTACTAACTACGTAACTTCTCCTTTCTTATACTTCCCTCTCTTTATCGTTATTCTTTATCATCTCCTCTGACCCCTCCTTC